GTATTGGGCGAAGAAGAAAAGGAAGGCGAGGACAACGAGGAGTCGATGATGAGGACGACGTGGCGAACGTGAGGATAGCGAGGAGGAGCATAGAGGAAGAGAAGCACAAGGACGAGGACGAGAAGAACGAGGGCGAGCACGAGGAGGAATACGGAGGGCAACGATGACGACGGCGACGACGACAGAGGGCAGTACGAGGCAATTGGAAAAAAGACGTTGCTCCTGGCGCCGCGCGGGGTTGTCTTGGGGCCTGTTGGGGGCTTCTTGGGGGCCCCTTGGGTCCTCTTATGGGCTTCTGGGGTCTTCTTGGGCTGTCTGGGCGCGTCGTAGGGTTCTGTGGGAGTTTTCTCAAGCCGTCTCGGCGCTGGGGGCCTCCTGGGGCGCTCCCGGGAGTCTCTTGGGGCCTTCGTGACCCTTCTCGGGCCGTCTTTGGGTTCTTGTGAGCTGTCTGGGTGCCTCCTAGAGCGCTCTTGGGGGTCTCTTGGGGTCTTCTTGGGGCGCTCTTGGGCGCTCCTGGGGCTCTCTGGGGCGTCCTTTGGGCTTCCCGTGGGCCGTTGGAAAACCCTCCAAGAGCGATTCGAACACGACGTCGATGCGGAGTCCCCTCTTGGGCCGATGTTTGGAGAATGTCTCAAGCGAAACGGCCATTTTTCAAAAACCTCTGGGCGCCTCTTGGGGGCCTCTGGGCGCCTCTTGGGGGCCTCTTGGGGGTCTCTTGGGCCGTTTGGGGGGTCCCCTGGGGGGCCTTTGGGGGCTCTCTTGGGCCGTTTTGAAGCCCTGCGGGAGCGACTCCAAGATAATGCTGGTTCGGAATCCCCTCCGGAGCCGATTGTTCGATGATGTCTCGAGCAAAACGGCCATTTCCCCTGAAACTTTCCTGACATGAACGGGAAGCGCGTGAAAGGACAGAGCTGCGCAAGAACGTGCAGCATCATCACGGTAAAATGTAATGTAGGCGAGCTCTCCGAACGTCCACAGGGGGTACCTACGGACACGCGCTCCCCGAACGTCCACAAGGAGAGTCCTGATTATCCTCCTCACTTCTCTATACGCCTCCAATGTCGTCCGTCTATCCCTCACTTATCTGATGTGTTCGAAGGCCCGTCCGAAGGCACACACATGCACACACACAGGAGGAAGAGGCTCTGGTACGTTTTAGAAGACCTCCTCAAAAGCACTTGCAAGGGGGATGTCTCGAGCGAAACGCTTACTTATCTGATGTGTTCGAGTAGGAGGGGGCGAAAGAGATGGAGAAACGTGAGGAGCAGACGGCCCTCACGACTGCCCAACAGAGCCTCACAATACGATCATATACAATAACTTAGTACAGAGGACGTATCATATACAAGGACCATCGTACACGAGGAAGATCATATACAACGAAGGCCATATTCAAACAAGATCATATACAACTAAGGGGCCGCCCACCCGCCGTCTCGCATATAGGCGACTGCACCGCCCCTACTCCCGGGGGTCCCTGGGCGGCCAGAGCGTATCCCTGGGATTGTCAAGGGCTTCAATGACGGCTCAGGAAGCCCACCCAGGCCACCAAGATAGCCCAGAATCGCTCCAAGGCGGCCCAAGATGGCTTCCAGACGGCCCAGAAGGCCTCCAACACGGCCCAAGAGGCCTCCAAGAGCCCTGCCAAGAGACATCATATACAAGGAATGTCATAGACAAGGTCGATCATTTACAAGAACTTAAAATAGAGGAAGTATCATATACAAGGACCACCAGTATCATATAGAAGGACCAAGTATCATATACAATGTTATCCAATAGCACCCCGAAACTATGTCTCATAGCAGCTCTTTCGACATAAAATTGTTCCGAGGATGTCTCAGGCGAAACGGCCGTTTTTGAAGTTCCGAAAATTAGGCCAGCGATTTCAATATCCCGATGTTTTGAGGATGTCTCAGGCGAAACGCTCATTCTTAACATAAGACGTCTCAGGCGAAACGCTCGTTTTGGGAATCCGCCAGGCTCTGTATCACGAGGCGGCGCCGCACGTTCCCCCTCCAGACCTCCCCCAGTTGATAAGTAAATCCCTCTGGGCAAACAGACGTCCATCGCGCGACTCTTCGAGTCTTGGCGCGCTTCCCGTCATCCGCCAGCGACCTTCCAAGTGCAATCCGTACCCCTTAGTTACAGAAAATTAAGCCCCAGAACCAACGGTGCACGCCGGAGGCGCTCCCCGTCACTTAGCGCAAATCCATATAGTTTGCGATACAAAATCGCCACCAGTTGCGCCGGAGAGCCCCGGGACGGTAAAAATATTGTTTGGGGTTTGTTTCTGGCGGCTCCGGTGGTTCAGAAAGGACCTCCGAGACAGGGGGAACACGGAAGGGATCCTATCTAAAGGCATTCGGCCAAGTCCGCCACCGTGCGTGGGTAATGGGCGGGAGAGGGAACTTGAAAAGGTTCACTTTCCCGCTTGTGGTCGAATTGGAGAGGGAACTTGAAAAGGTTTACTCTCCAGGCAGGGACAGGGAACTTGAAA